AATGGGAGGCCACGGGCAGGACGTTGAGGATGTGGCAGAGCTCGATACTCACAGCGTGGAAGATGGACATGGATCTACAGCAAACAGAATTCATTAGGATGAAGTAGGATGAAGTAGGATGAAGGGATGTCATGTAGATGTAGACTCTTGATTCACAAAACTCCGAGACGTGGGGTTTGCAAAGCCTCTTGGAGAGAAGTGGGTTCATACAATCAAAAGCCTACATTTGGTGGTGACATGACTTGGAAGGAATATATAGTCCCTAGGGCTCCAAGTACCTCCTCAGAAGGTATTTGGACCCTCCAAACCCACCCCAAACACTTTCTGAGGAAGTACTTGGAGCCCTAGGGAGTTTATTGATGATTTGTCATCCGAGTTTCGGCCCGAGGGTCCTTCCAGCCTTGGTGAAACTGTTCCGATCCCCTTGGTGATTCGATGTCGTGGCTCTCTGGAATCCCAGAAATCATGAATCCTCAAGATCGATTTTCGGCCAAGTCCGACCACTGAGTCTTGAGGTGAAAACCACAAAACCACGCTAAGGTGTGGACTTCTGCACAGAAGTCCAGTTCGACTATATTTTGACCAGCTGAAGTGTTCAGGAAGTTCCCGAAATCAGGTCCCCGTTCGTCAGACCATTCTTTTTCTAGTCTTGCACTCCCAGGGCGTTCATTTACCTGTGTCTCCTGGCGCGAACGCTTCTGCTTCGATCATCACCGACCCAGACATCGGCGAACTCCGAACCAACCTGGCCAGGTTTGGCGTGAGTGGACCCCACAAACGCGGCGCACTGGCTCGGAGCCTTGGGTGGTCCAAGGGTTTCGGAGGGTTTCGGAGGATCGGGTCGTACACTGTAGGCCTGAGAGGTCCAGGTGCAGATGAGGCAGATCATTTGGCCCAGTCACAGAGCTCGGGGTGGTGTTTGGTCCCCAAGTGAGTGGATGTGACAGGGGCACCCCGACTATACCTCCATGGATCGCACCCCGAGCTCGCTCTGGGACTGGTGGGCTAAGTCGTGATCGGCTCGGGTGGCTGGGCTCGGGAACCGTTTCCGCAGATCTAAGGCAGATCCTTGTGTTAAGCTCGTGACCACAAAATTTGGATAGAGCCAAGCCCAAACACTCCATGGGACTGCCATAGGACTGCCGCTTCAGAAAGACCCCCCTGGCACCACCCCTGGCCGTTTCTGGGCAGTCCGTCCTGGCAGTCCCAGATGGGTCGTTTAATCCCGAGCCGGTCCGGTGGACGTTCGAGCTGGCGGGGTGCCTATACGAACCTGAGTCTGACCTCTATCTTGGACCAACCACCCAAAATATGGCCTTTTCCTATCAAAACAGGGGTCAGTTGGGTTCCAGGTATGCATACATACCTTGACTTTCCAGCACCCCCTAGCACCCCCTAGCCGGCACGCACTCGACTCCCCTCGGCGATGGCACCGCCCAAGACGGTCGTTGGTCCCCATCGTGTCGAGGGCCCGAGCACGGAGTCGCGGAATGAAGAGGAGGAGTCGGGGCCACCCGGCGACGACGGCGAGCACGGAGTGGCGGAGCGTCGAAGGAAGGAATGGAAGGAGTGCCAGGGCTATCCCGGCGCGCTCTGGGGGCCAGGAGAGTTGGCCAAGTCAGTGGTACTTAGTATGTTAAGAGGAGGACACACCCTTCCGCCTAAAGGGTGTTGTTGATTTCCCTTCCAGGGTCGTTGCCTGGGAGCTCGAAGAGACACCCAAGTAAGTGAGCCTGAGATTGTTGAAAAATTGCAAAACTTCCAACCCTGTGGGTTCCCTATATTTGACCCACGCAGACGCTGAAAGCCACGTATAATATGAATGTTTAAGGGCCTGGCTCTTCAAAGTGACCGAACTTGAATCCCCTGGTTTGGTCACAAGGTCCAGGCCTAGAAAAGGTCACAAAGGCCCCGGAACCCCAAAGTTCGGTCACGAACTGAAGATGAGTTCGGTACCCACTCTTGGATACCTGTCACATCCGCTCATCAGTCCTGGATATATCAACCATTCCTGGATGGAACTGGTTTGCGGGTGTGTTTTCCTTGGTGCTTTGGGCGGCCTATTGGACCGCCCTTCACCGTCGACCAACGCCCGCCCTCGTTCGTTCCCTTCGTTCGCTTCGCTGGGCGCACGGTGCGTGCGGGCGTCGCTGTCGTCGCCGGCCGTCCTTTCGTGGAGTCGTAAAGGTTGTTCGTCGTTTCCATCGTCGTTTCAACTGACTATCCCAAACACTCCATGGGACTGCCATATATGCCTACATTAGAGTGGTTTTGGGCTCAATGTAGGCATATGAGGCCAAATGGGTATCATTCCATCCCTAAAACCTCCGCGGAAAACTTCCCAGCTCTCCAAGAAGTTTGTTCTATTCCTCCGCCAGTGGTCGGTCGCTGAGGCACAACTTGGCTCCCCAAACATGCTCCATTTCTACCTTTACCATGCCTCTTTCATACATGAACCTACATGCGCGTGTCTTCCACCGCGAAGGTACACCCCAAAACACACAACCGTTCACCTTCCGAGATGGGTCAACCTTACCGTCCCTCCAGTAAGTTAGGACACCATTCAGCGTTCTTCTGTTTCGACAGGTTTCGTGGGAGTCCTTCGAACCCGGAGTCCGCCAGGTTCGAGCCGGACTCCCAGGCGAGCAGGGACTTTGAGGCTCGCAGGTGCGAGTCCGAAAGCGGCGGAGCTGGCAGAAGCGGAAGCGGGGCAGAAGCGGAAGCGGGGCTGGAGAGGCCATGTCGGGCCCGAACATGTGGGGGGTGGTTATTGCAAAGGTGTCATGTAGGCATATATGGGTGTGTATGTGCTATTGAATGAATGTATTGGGGAGATCTCCAGGTCCGGTAGGGTGTCTCCTGGTCGGTTTCGCTTCCTTCCAAACCCATACCCCTGCGACTTCCGTTCGACCATTAAAAAGATGGGAACAACATGGAACAACCTGGTGTTTGTGTAAAATATTGTAAAATCCTATAGTGGACAGCTAGCACTTAGAATATGACCAAAAGGATTTTTTGGTTAGGTCCATATGTCCCAAGGTCACTTGTCCATTTGTCCGCGGACGCGCAGATAGAATTTCCACACATCCACATAGAATGTGCGCACCACACTTAGAATATATGCAGCGTGTGTCAATCCAATCACACTTGCCTCAAGGGAGATGTGCAACCAGTAAATATGCATGAGCCTTCATCTCCGGCGTCTTTGGGTGGGAAAAGATGCTGAGGTATGTGTGGTCGGTTAGAATGTATATTAACTGTGCTGTCGTTCATGAAAATGCCATATTCTAACTGCAACCAAATGCTCCGGCCATATTCTAAGTGCCGGCAGGGCACTATAAGTTGATTCGGGATGAACCGCCTATCAAATGAATGGTTGGCCAGGAAGCCGTGCGGGTATGTTGCCATACATGCATGGAGTGTTTGGGAGCTTCTTTGGTCCACACGGGGAAGAAGCGCTGTCGGATCATGACCGGATGTGCGACCGACACCGAAAGGGTCCGAATCACACACAGGGCTGGTGGAAGGTGACGGGTTTGTAACAAACAAGCTTGCAAAAATCGACCTCAACCAGTTTGTTTGTAGCCTTTTTCTGGTTGGGCAAGAACTAATCCAGTGGAATGCACATGTTTTGGACGAGACCCTGCAATGAATTCTAGTCATAGTGTTTGGGATGGAGACCTGTGGCAACGTTTGATGTTCATTTACCCACATCCTTCACTCGATTCTGAGAAGTGACACTTGCCCCCATCACTGTCTCCAATGTACTTGTATCAAGTGCTGGACTCTGGTGAAGTCCGAGATGTAAGTTTTTTGTCTCACCTCCCGTCACTGCCTCACCTGGTGACACCAAAAGCCCCTGCGTCGCGCGACTTTGAGTCTAATTGGCCCCCCATCCGTGCCAGGAAGATGATCAAGGAGGGCAAACGCTTTGAGAAGGTGCACCGTTCGTCGCGCGTACCCGCGGTGCTGGGACCGAGGGGAGCAGGGGAGCAGGCGAAAAAGGTGTCGACCAGCTGGGTCTCTCAGCAACCAGGACCCTCCAAGGGGTGTCCAATGGACTCCCCCACACTACCTATAGGCTTCCGTTGGGCACCCCTTGGAGGGTCCTGGTATACATTGACCAATAATCAGCTGGGTCGCTCTAGTCAGCATGTGCTGGGTCCATCAGGGTCGACCTGGGTGGGAGGTTTTCAACAGAATCAATTTAAGCAGTGCCGGCCCGGCAAGTGTCCAGACTCGGGAGAGAGAGGGACAGATTGTTCAACACTGAAGGCCTCATTGCCTTCACTCTCCAATCATGGAAGTTTGCTTACGATTCACTTTGTGGAGTTAATGCTTAAAGCTGTCACAGCAGTCATAGCACTCTTGCTTCCCTGCACCCCAATTCTAGCTTCTGCGGACCGTTCACTCAAAGAAGGAAGTGCTGCGCGACGCGCTCGAACGACTTCGCTGCGCGAAGGACTTCGCTGCGTTCGAACCCGCCGCGTTCGTCGCACGAAGCCCAGCAGTTGCGCAGCTTCCTCTCACGGTCCGAACGGTCCATGTGCCTTCCGCCGCGGCCGATCGATACACGCGAAGGAAACACGAAGCAAGGAGAGAACCAGCCAGTGCCAAGCGCCAGCGCCAAGCATTAGGAATACCAGCATCCTCCAACAGGTGCCTTGTAGTGACCTGTTAGCCATTTTAGCCTTGTAGTGACCTGTTGGATTTACCTATTAGGCTTTTTCTATGCGGGGTGGCTTTCAAGCTTCCAAGGGGCTGTGTAGAGGGGGTCCCCTCAAGCCACCGACGTGGACAGAAGCGGAAAGCATCCAGACAAATCCAGGAATCTCGATGGAGGACACCTGGTTCATGGGCACGTGGACCCGCGATGTTTGATCAAATTCCGTGGCCAACGCCCCCAATTGGGCACGCGCCAATTCTTCTTCCACGGCGGTGGTCTGACGCCGCCTCCTACCTGTATAGACTGCACCAAATCATTAAAGGAAGGGTTTCCAACCGCTGTGCTTCCGCCACCCCCACAGCCAGACGTAGACATTCCTTCCAACTGCTGTGGGCGCCTGCCCATGGCGCCGCCATGGCAGCCGGCACCGGTGGCCGATGAGCCGAACACCATGTCGCTGGAAGAATTGTGCCTTGGACGAAGTGATGAGCGGTAGGAAGACGTGGGAGTGCTATGTGCCAGGATCATCCTGTCTGGGTGTCCTGGCGTTCGACTACCCTACGCGACGTAAACAGGTCTCCAGACAGGGCACCCATTGGAAGGGCTATGTGTGTGTGGGTGTGTGTTGTGTTCTAGCTTTTTCAGCCAAGGCATCCATGAGACTGGAAGATGATATGCCGCATCATTGACTCATCAAACTTCTCGAAAACAATCCCCGATGTAGGCAAGTGTTCCAAACAATTAATATGGCGTATCGTTTGGGGATGCTTGGTGTTCCGTTGGAGTCTGAACGTGGAGACCGGGAGCTCGTTTCCCACCAGAGCGAAAATGTGTTTGGAGGTGCACCAACAACCCGACCGACGCTCAAACACAAGCAGGTGACACCTTGTGGCCAAGTGGCTGAGTAAAGCTTTTCGCGTGGAAAGAAGTGCAGCAGAGGGGAGTTGGTGGGAGCAGTGAGGGATCTATCCTACATAGAATTCACTTAGAAACACCACCATCCGCTGGTTGGGGCCGGGTCTTTCGAAGGGTCTGTCTGATTGTGTCTGGGCCACCCCACCACCCCACCTGGTGTTGCTTCAGGTCATTTTATATGTTTTTTGTATGTTTCCTATATATATGTAATATGCTTTTCTGGCTCCAGGTTCCTTAACGCCCTGGAAACCCCCCACCCCCGGAAACCCGCTCGACCCCTCCCCCGCGTTTTCCAGGCACCGCTCTCGGGTGCTAGTGACCATCGACGTGGTGCTCTTCTTCGGCTCAGCCTTGGTGGCCTCAAAGTTCTGGACCGGGTCCTCCGTCGCCGGCTGCGCCGTGTTTCATTTCGCCGAGTGGGTGGTTGGGACACGGGACACTGGCGCTTGTGGCACCGTCACACCGATGTGGTTGACGACCTATTCTACTGGGCGATGTGGCAGATGTGGAGGGCTGGGCTTTGGCACGTTCAGAGGTTGCGTGTTGGGAGGATTCGTCATGTTGACCGTCGAGTGTAAGAATAAAAAGTAACCTGGGTCTAACGTATATGGATTGCTTTTGTTCCTCAAGCGGCCAATAGTGAACAGAAGGGGTACTTGTTTGCGGATATCATGTTTCACCTGCAGGAGGGGGCACAGTTCTTTGCTGGGTGAGGTTGACCAGGTGGCCTTTCCACCTTTTTCCCATGTGTGCTCTTTCCCGAACCGATGTCTGCAGCATCTGCACCAGCTGAAGGCCTCGTGCCCAGCCAGATCGTGGCATGACCGGTCATTGCGAGTCTGCCAGCATTTTCGCCGATCCGCCTGCCGGTTCGACACGCCGATCCGCCTCTTCAGGATTGACACGCAGATCCGAATCCGTGACCTGCGCCGGGTCAATCACGACCCCAACGCCTTGGCGCCGCGGCAGCCGTTCCGATGCGCTGGGCGTGGGCCGCGGGCATTTGGAGGGCAAGAACTTTAGTTTAAATGACCAGGATGAAATGTTCGATCACCTGTAGATTCATGGCACAGACTGCTTTGTGACATCAGTGTTGGGCAGTCCGCATTTGATGCATTTGGTTCTTCCACAAAGGTGTGCCAAACCTGGTTGCTTTGTGCAAGTGTCAACTCAGCGCAGCCCAGACTTGTGAGCTAAAGTCAGACACTGCAGTCTCCGCAGAGTCGGGCATAGCGATTGAACATGGAAAGCCGTGCAAATCCAGGCATCACGAAGGTTATGTTTGCAGCTGTTGGCGCTCGCGATGCTTGGCTGAACTTCCTCGGTTTCTGGTGTGTTTTGTAATGTGATGCGTTTTGTGACGGCTTTCTTGGGAGTGTGGAATGGAGCGACTGAATGGGTGAATGGGCGTTTCAACATTCTTAAGGTGTTTTCCAGAGGGGCTGAGATGCTGGAGATGCTGCTAACAGTTCACCACTTTCCTGGCACTGTTTGTTTGTTTCATTTTTTCCGACTTGAGCTACTGATCGGAGATATTCTTCAGCTTGAGAGGCTCTGACAGCACCTGCTGCACCGAACTGCCGACACGCCCCCCATGGCCTTCCGCTCCGGTGCCCTTCGTGTGGCCCTCGCCCGCGCTGCGCGCGCCGCCGCGCGCGCCAGCGCCTCCGCGCGGCTGGCGCGGCCGGCGGCGGTGGCAGGGTCGTTGGCCGCGGGCTACGCAGGCTACCGCTGGGTGACACCCAGTGGATGTGAAGCGGCACCCTTGGTGGATGTTTCCAAACTCACCAAGGCAGGATGTTTCCCTGGGGGGCTGGGAGGTGGAGGTATGGGTTTTGGGTGGGTTTTTGGTGGGTGTGGGACCTTGCACCATAGGCTATAGAAGCAGTGCTGACGGAGGCAGAAAAGCAAGGGCGGCATAGCTATATGAAGGCGGTATCAGCCACCCGAGCGGTGCCGCATCCACATCCACCGAACCCCCGGATTTGCTGCATGTGGCAGCCTGCCAGGTGGCAAAGATCGATGATGTGGGACTTTTGCCGCAACCTTTGAAGCCCAAGTACAAGACGCCTGGTGTTGCTATACCAAAACACGACACATGGGACTGCCATAGATGCCGATCAGTTGGGGTGGTTTTGGGCTCAATGTAGGCATATATGGCAGTTGCATGGAGCCTCTGGGATAGGATGAAGGTCGTTTTGTCCCGAGCCAGGTGAATCCCCAGCCCCCCCAGCGCTCATCGCCGGCGTGGCGTGGAGCGGCCAGCGTTCATCCAAGGACGGCGTTAGTTCAGATCTACGTCTCCTCGCAACCCTTTGGCGGGTCCGACAAGAGCAACAGCGCCTTGGAGATGCGGAACCCCGGTCTCAACCAGAAACAAGTCTGGTTGTTCATGGTTGTTCCAATATGGCGCCAGCTTGAAAGCCTTTACATAGGAAATGGTTGGGACTGGGGAAACATCCATTTTCTTTCTGGTTGGGACTGGGGTTCCAGGCAAGTCTTTGTTTCGAACAGTGCCAATTTCTTGCATGGAAAACACGTCGAGGAAAGTGTCGCGTGCTTTTGAGAAAAAGATTGTTTTGGACCTTGGAACTCTGAAAAGGGGTATACAACACCGGTATACTGATACTTATGTTCACATTTCTCTCAAGACTGGTTACTGGTGGTGTTCCTGATTCTTCGTGCTTGGCCAGTGTGTCTACGCTTGTTCTTGCCATCAAACCACCTGCTTTTCGGTGTTGTGTTGCCCTAGGCTTCCAACAACCATTAATTTAATAGGCTGTATACCAAATCAACTAAGGATTTTACACTACAAACACCAGGTCAACCATTTTTTTAATGGTCTTGGAAGTCTAGGGTTGTGAAACCGCTGCGGGCGGGTGTTTTCTTCCCGCTCCAGGCGGCCATCGTTACGACTCCATTCCCATCGCGCAGCTCGGCGGTCACCGCTTCGGACTCGTGCAGTGCGAGGCTCCGTTCGCGCCCGCGATGCCCGTCATGGTTACCGGTGGTAGAACCACCCTACAAGTCGTGGCCCACCATCGTTTTAATAGCCTGACATCGTCCCAACCATTGTTTCACTAAGGGTTTTACACTAGAAAACCAGATCGTTCCCATTTTTCAAATGGTCCACTGGACTTCCAGGATATAAGTACTCACCGAAACATCACGGGGTTCAGACCAGATCAAGGTAACCATGGCCAAAGGAATCGATATGAATCATGACTGAGGAATGGCATGATCGCATCGGGCATGAGCTGCCAGCTCATCCACTACGTCCCTGAGGAGCGCGTTGTTTGGAGTCCGCTACAACTGAGCTTTTGCCCAGGTCAAAACAGTGTTCTACCCTCCCCGCCACCCCTTGTTTGTAGATGATGTCATGGTCTTGGCGCCCCTCCACTTCCATGCTTGTTGAAGCAAGGGTATCACTTATGATCATCACCCGACGCCCACCTTTTCGTTACCAAAAACCTCGAAACTAGGCCTTACAATCCCAGACGCTCCATGTATGGCATAGTTGCCTACATTGACCCCTTTTCAACCACCCCTGGCCGTTTCGGCATATATATGGCAGTCCCATGTGTCGTGTTTGGGAATGGACATCTCCTTCAGTAACCGCCCTGGTCCCTCACACTGGGTCTGCTCCCCCCGGACGCGTCGCACCGCCGCCGGGTCGACGCGTCGCGTTCCGCCGCCGCCTTCCGCCGCGATCCGCGCTTCGCGGCGCGATTCGGGCGGTCCAGGAGCACGACGCCTTCTTCAAAGTCATCGAAGGCTTCGACGCGGTGATCGTGCGCTGCAACCCGGGACAGCGCCTCGGCCCCCGGTGGGTTCGGCGGAAAACGGTCGCCACGGATCTCAAGGTATTCGGTTCCGCGGCGGGTGGCTGGGGCGGTGGGGGAGGTGTGAGGTGTAGTCATTCGAGGTCTTATTGTAGGTCTGGGCTGCAGAGTGTGCTGCAGGTGTTCATCAGTAATCACCACCCCAATTTTGAAGAATGATGCACAGCTGATTTGTCCGGAACGGGGTTTGGCAGTTTTGGGGTCATCCTCCAGCACTGAAAGATGGAGTCTTCCTGAGAAGTTCTTGCCGGGCTCCCTGCGAATCAGAGCCTTTTGGATTTGCAATCTTTGAAATGGAAGACAGGCGATGATCTTGAAAAAGACTGCTTCCAAGAGCACTGACACTTGGCAGGGGGATACACTCTCTAAGAAAACAGCTTCCAACAAGTCACCACAGAATTTGCAAGAAGGCGCTAGGCGGCTGCAAAAACCCTCGCAGTAGCTGGGTCGTTTGACGAGCAACTCCACGATGTGTGCGTGTGCTCCAGTAGCCGAGGATCAATGCGGCAGGTGGTGATCAGGTCAAGTTCGACGATGCCATGCGCGCCCTCCAAAAGAAGGGCAAGCAGGTTTGGCCTTCTCCAGATGTGATGACCAACATGGGTGCCAAGGAGAGACCGGGTGCCACATGTGCCAGACGTATGCCATGTGTGACGTGTGTGACGTGTGTGGTCTTATGCATCGGAGCACACTCTCCAAATAGAGCGGGCACCCACTGACGCAGACGCGCATTCCAGTTCAGTAGTAGAAAAAACAAAAAACAACAAAAACATCCACCGAAATTCGGAACTATTTCATGTCATTTCAAGGCAGTCAAGGGTGAGCTTGTGCCATTCTGGCGCATTCGAAGCTACCTCGTCCAACCCGGAACTATGGGAATTAAACATTTATTGAAAGTCCCCATTTTTGCACACCCGAAAGCCAAAAGCAAGGATTCATATCAAGAACAGCAGCAATAAAGACAATCATGAAGTCTCCTACGCATATGTGATCAACCAGGCCGACCTCATACACCGGTTCCACTCCCCCGTAGAGTCTGGCGACCTCAGACATGTCAACACCTCGGTTCCATGCCCAACGTGGAACGGCCCAGGATGCCTTGTGCAAGATCGCGGATTTGTCCATCGGTTTACCAGAGACCCGGCCCACGAGCGGTTCGAGCGGTTTTTCCATACCATTTCGCGGTTGGAGGTCGAAGGGTGTCCGACGGAATGAGCGGTAGACCAAACCAGACACTGGATGTATGGAATCATCCAGTGGAGCCGGGGAGGCATACCCCCCCTGTGACAGGGGTGTCTGATTGCTCCGAAAAGAGCTGATTCGGGGTCTCCCACCACCCCAAACGCGGGCTCCCGTCTCTACCAGTTTCCATTCGTCGTCTCTGCGGGGTCGGACGGTGGATGACTCCTTCGGCGGAGGCGAAGAGATGGGTCCCGGCGCTCGGTCCGGGGTTTGGGCAAGTGTTGTAAAAAGAAGATAAAGAAGCAAAGCTACTCTTCCTGGAATTAACATGGAAGTGGAAAACCACCTGTTTGTAGTGGATTTCATGGAAGATTCTCCACTTCCATGTTAGTTCCAAGGAGTGTATCTCAAATCTTGCTCTCTATCAATGGCCATTTGGTCCTGACTTTTGTTAGTGAGCTCAAGCACTTGCGGCAAAGACACGCTGCGGCAGGTGAGCAATAACTCCTTAATATCACTTGGCGTCCTTATTCACTGAGTGCCCAAGCTGTTCGCCACTTCGCTTCGCCCAGGACACCTTGGCCTACTACTCCCCCGAAGAGTTCGCCGCGGGGTTCAAGAAGACCATGGCCTTCCAGCCGCGTGTGATCAAGCAGAACCGTGGAAGCTCCGGCGAAGGCATCTGGATCATCAAGCTCAAGAGACTCGGCGGCGCGAAGAGGGAGGACATCTGAAGGAGCTTCCGGCTAAGCTAGGCTACCTATAGTGAGATCTTCACAGCCACAAGACTGGAGTAGTGAAAATAGGTGTTTTTTATCGTTTTTTTTTGTATTGTTTGTTTATCGTTTGGTCTTATCATATTTTTATACTACTACTGGGCTAAACTACTAGGCTATCTTACGTTTGGAAGAAGGAGGCCTCTTCATGCGCCAAGGTGCTTCTACACCGTTCTTGGGGACATGTTCCTTCTCCTTTCGTCCAGCTCCGGTGGGAGTTCATCCCCGGCTCGGTCGAAAAACCGTCACGGTGCCACGCCCCAACCGCCTCAGCACGAACCGCCCAGCCCACGGTTTCAGCTGCCAACCGGCACGGTGGTTCGGCGGTTGGAGGTCCGGCAACTACTGCAAGAACTACGGGGACCGTGCCCAAGCCGCGTTTTTGTTAGGGCCGGTCAAGGTCGGTTTTGACAGGTGTCCAGACGCGACCGGACTGGCGGACTACCGAGACACGGCCAGGGGTGCTTGAAAAGGGCCAGTTTGACGGAGTGTTTGGGAAATG